TGTGTGTGTGTGTGTGTGTGTCCCTGAGTGTGTGTGTGTGTGTTTGTGTCTGTGTGTGAGTGTGTGTGTGTGTGTGAGTGTGTGTGTGTTTTCTTAGCTGGCTCCTTGCGACTTGACTTGTAATATAAATTTCTTTAAGAACAGGAGTGTGCCATTCAGCCCCTCCAGGCCCTTTCACCTTTAAATGAGCTCATGTCTGATTTCCCAGAATCACACAAGTGTTACAGCGCAGAAGGAGGCCAGTGGGCCCATCTTTCCTGTCCCTGTATCGTTCAGTATCTTTGGGATCATAACCTTAACACTGTCACTTACTCAAAATCCGTCAACCTCACTCTTACCCAGTCTCAACAGCTTGTTTGGGGCCTTACCGATTTCAGCAATGATGAAATATTTTCTGAAACCCCCCGCCCCCCACCAATTGGCTCGCAGACTAAATTTGAGGTTATGCCCTATTGCTTTAGGGTGTTCCCACAGGGGGCAATGCGTTTCATCTACCCCTCTCAACTAAATAACAAGCTGCAAACCTGCGACAAGAGCAGAACGCATACCAGCGAGTGTCAAAATGTGTGTTTCACAAATGATATCCTTTACCCATGACAGGCCGAGCAAAGGGTTTCACAAACCGTGCCCTCAAACTGCAAAGGTCACAGCTGTGGGTGAGCAACACATCCCCTGATAAATCATGTTTTTTAATAAAGTATTTCTGCTTCGTGTGCTGTCAGGAAAGGAATCACATGCAGTTATTGTTAATCCCCCCTGCTGTTAACATCCAGATGCCGTCCTGATTTCCATCCGTTACTGCCTACAACTCTTGTTTACCCACTAAGATGGAAAGTTGACTGCTCTCTTCCAGCAACCCACTGCCATGAGCACACATGGAAAGCTCAATGAAGCCACTGTGTGTGGGTAGCCAGTTAATAGTCCATTGCTCGTTACTGCTTCCCATCTTGCATCTATTTTAATCCGCCGCAAATCCGCTGCTTTGAGAAACTGCGGCCGACGACCTAACATATGGAACAATCTCGAGCCCACTCCCAGCAATAACGTTGCCTTCGTCCAGTGCTCCTAGCACAGTGGAACAGCCCAATAAGCCTCACCGGTCTGATCATGGCACAAAACTGAGCACCAACTCACTTCGAGATTTGCCGCAGAGGCCGAAGTCATCTCTCTGCCGGTGGACAGTGCTCAAAGAGCTGGTCACAGCTGCAACCCCCAGTCCCTCTGTGCCACAAGGCCAGAGAGGAGAGAGGGACAGAGAGCTTAGGGACAGAATTCCAGAGCTTTATGGGATCTCTGATGACGGAACGATTAATGCCAGGGATTCCGAAGAGGCCCGTTTTGGAGGAGTTTTTTTTATTTATTCATTCATGGGCTGTGGTATCATTGGCTAGAGCAGCGTTCATTGCCCATCCCTAATAGCCCAGGGGGCTGTGAAGTGTCAACCACATTGCTGTGGGTTTGGAGTCACGTGTAGTCCAGACCAGGCGAGGATGGCAGTATCCTTCCCTAAAGAGAAGCTGTCCCACAAAAAAAGTGACAATAGTTTCCACACCATTAGACTCTTGCTTCCAGATACTTATTGAATTCAAATTTCACTATCTGCTATGGTGGGAGTTGAACCCAGCTCCCTAGAAATATTACCAGAGTCCCCAGGTTAATAGACCAATGGTAATACCACTTGGCCATCACCTTCCCCAAGAAGTGAGGACTTCAAGGGCTGGATAAGGTAAAGGAACCAGGGGAAGACCCGGCGATCAAATTTTCTTTCCTGACCTGGCACTGCACTGGGATTAGTCCATCGACATGATATCCCGAGGAATGAGTGGTTCACAGCTACGACATGCAGTTAAAGCTGGTGAGCAGGTTCCTGAAGCCGAAGGCCCTGAGAGTGGAGGGAGCCTGCTGTTGTAGGTAACACGGGTCATGTGTCTCAGCATTTTTCAATACTTTACGGAAATAATAATGACCACAGCTGCCAGACTGCTGTAGCGTCGGGTCAGGCCTCTGTCCACACGGCAGCATCAGGCACTGCTGGGTGGCACGGTGGCTCAGTGGTTAGCACTGCTGCCTTCACAGCGCCAGGGACCTGGGTTCAATCCCACCCTCGGGTGACTGTCTATGTGGGAGTTTGCACATTCTCCCCGTGTCTGCGTGGGTTTTCTGTCACAGTCCAAAGAAATGCAGGCTAGGTGGATTAGCTGTGGGAAATGCAGGGTTACAAGGGAGGGTCTGGGCGGGGTGCTCTTTGGTGGGTCGGTGTTAATTTGATGGGCCAAATGGCCTGCTTCCACATGCTCAAATCTTTCTGCAGTGAGGCTTTTTGCTTACTCTGAGTGTGTTTCACACATCACCGCCAGCCTGCCTACTTTCTGGAACCTTCCTTGGAGGAGCAGGGGCCCCCTCCTTGATTTGGTGTCTATCTGTTATGGCAGTGCAAGTAACTGTTTGTAAAGGGGCCAGCCTCCACCAAAATCAGGCCTGGGGAAGCAGCATGTCAACAGCTGTCAGTGCATTGCAGTCCCCGTCTCACAACCAAATTCCTGCCCAGGGTGTCCCATTTTATTCGGTCGTCGTCTCTGTGAAGTATCTTGGGGTATTTTGCTGCACAAAGGGTGCTATACAAATGCAAGCTGTTGCTGCCAAACTCCCCACTTGAACCAGTTTATTCAAACACAATTGGGTTTAAAATGGTACCTTGTGCTTTTCACTTTTCATGAGACCTTTCGATAAATCAATCAATCAATCAGTCAATCACTCAATTTCTTGACAATTTTGGCATCTCTCCTATGTCCAGGCTGATCCAAGTTAGCGTCCCGTTCCCCAAACACATCCAATTTGGAATCAAATCTCTCTGTGTGCTCCCCAGCTCCCTCTTTTATCCCCACCCCACCTTTACACCCACTGTCCCTTCCTTTTGGCCCTCCAACTGTGACCTGTTCTGCACTCCACCTTTATTGGCAAGGATTTCAGGTGCTCTGGTCATAATCTTCTGGCATTCCTTTCCTTGCCCCTTCTGGCTTTCTTATTGTTGCTTTGGAAATGCAGCGACTCTTTCCCTGCCTGAGTTCAGATCCTTTGTAAACACCCATCCGTAAGGGGCCTTTCTTCTGTCCACCACAGGCAATTGGTCCATATTGCTACAGTACTGTTGACTCGGTGTCTACGGCAGCATTGTACTGTGAAGGGGGCAGGCTTTTCACCGAATTATTTGTGGGCCTGGTTTTGGAGGGAGGCGTTTGTGTATTGTCCACGACAGACGAGTGAATGATCTGCTCCCTTTCACAGATGCAGACGGTTTTTGCCTTCGATGAAGAGGAAATGGAGATGAGAAACACAGTCGTCGAAGGACTTAAGACAGCTCTTAGGACACAACCAATGAGGTACCGGATTGCTGGGAGATGGATCTGTCGGTGTTACAGGCAGTTTTCCCTGTGTCCCGGCTCTGTCAATGTATTTGTGCTCCTCAGTCCCTCTGGGGGTCTCCCTGTTCCGCCTCCAATCCTCACGGTGGCTCAGTGGTTAGCACTGCTGCCTTACAGTGCCAGAAACCTAAGTTTGATTCCACCCTCGGGCAACTGTCTGTGTGAAGTTTGCACGTTCTCTCTGTGTCTGTATGGGTTTCCTGCGAGTGCTCCGGTTTCCTCCCACAGTCCAGAGATGTGCAGGCCAGGTGGATTGGCCGTGCTAAATTACCCCATAGTGTTCAGGGATGTGTAGCTGAGGTGGATTATAGGGGGATGGGTCTGGGTGGGATCCTCTGAGGGTTGGTGTGGACTTGTTGGGCCAAAGGGCCTGTTTCCATACTGTAGGGACGCTATGATCTATGATATCTCTGCACAAGGAGTTAACATTGCCATGGAATACTAAGAAAAAATTAATTCACTTTTTTTTAGAATAGAATAGTCTTTATTGTCACGTGCAGTGAAAAGTTTGTAATGTTGCTGCTTTGGTGTTATCTTAGGTACTGGGTACTTCGGGTACTTGAAGTGTTTGTTACTGAATAGAAAGAGTTTTAAAAAATAGGTTAGCATAGGAATACAAAGTTTTAAGAAGCACTCAACTTACTCAAAGTTCAGAATAAGAATAAAAGTATCTTTAAAAAGTACTCAAATTATAGTCCTTTCCACTGAGTCCTTCCCTGTCAGGCTTCAGAACACAAGGAACAAAAACAAGGTTGCTGGAAAAGCTCAGCAAGTCTGGCAGTATCTTTGAAGGAAAAAAGAGTTAACGTTTCGGGTCACCGGAAATGATCCGATGATCCGATAGTTGAACAATAGCTCTTGTCCAGGACAGCACAGAGCGAACTCCTTATCTCTCCTTCAACATAGCACTGAAGACTCATTCGATGAGAGCTGCACAGGAACTGAAGGGGGCACGAGGGAAACGTTACAGTCCTGACAAAAGGGTCACTGATTTCTCTGCCAGATCTGCTGAGCTTTTCCTGGAATTTCCACCTCAAACCCCACCCCCACTCCCACCTCCACCTCCTACTTACCAGCCTCATCCCCGCCCCCTGGTCCTGTCCATCCTCCCTGGACTGACCTATCTCCTCCCTAACTCCCCACCTACACTCACCTTTACTGGCTCCGTGCCGCCTTTTAGACCTGTCTGTCTCCTCTCCACCTATCTTCTCCTCTATCCATCTTTTATCCGCCTCCCCCCTCTCCCTATTTATTTCAGAACACCCTTCCCCTCCCCCATTTCTGAAGAAGGGTCCAGACCCGAAACGTCAGCCTTCCTGCTCCTCTGATGGTGCTTGGCCTGCTGTGTTCATCCAGCTCTACACCTTGTTATCCGGGAATTTCTGCTTTGTTTGAGGCAAACCTCTGTGGTTCTGATGTGAGATGTATTGCCTGGGATAGTGGGGGAGACAGTCTCAACAACAACTTACACTTACATAGTACCACTGACTACACTGCCCAAGGTGATACTTGGTGAAATGATCAAATAACTGTAAGGACGTAATGGTCAGATGGCCCAAAGATCGCTTGAAGATGTGGCATTTAAGAGGTGTGTCAAATGCAGAAAGTGAGGTGCGGTGGGGGTTGGGGTGGTTTAGGGAGTCAATTTCAGAGCATTCCTCAGTCAGGGAAGGCCGGACCTTTAGTAGTGGAACAATTAAACTCAGGGATGCACAAGAATCTGGAGTCAGCAGAGGTTTTGAAAAGTTGCAGTTCAGTTAAAACCTCCCGAAAGAAATTGGACAAAGACTTGAAGAGTAATTTGCAGCTCCAATGGGAAAGTGTAGGGTGTGGGTCTAATTAGAGAACCCTGTCAAACAGCTGGCACAGGCAAGGTGGCCTCTTCCTGTGCTGCATTTTATTATTTCCTTGATTTTGACCCAGCGACAGTGAGGGAGTTATGTCATATGTCCAAATGTGAAGGGGGGCGGCGGGACTGAGGCAGGGTGTGGGAGTGAGGTGGGGTATGTGTGTCTGTGTGAGTGTGTGTGTGTGTGTGTGTGTGTGAGAGAGAGAGTGAGTGTATGTGTGTGTTTGTGTGTGTGTCTGTGTGTGCGTGTGTGTGTGTGTGAGTGTGTGTGTGTATGAGAGAGTGAGTGAGTGTGTGTGAGTGTCTGTGTGTGTGTGTGTGTGTGTCTGTGTGAGTGTGTGTGTGCGAGAGAGAGTGTGTGTGTGTGTGAGAGAGAGAGAGTGAGTGAGTGTATGTGTGTGTTTGTGTGTGTGTCTGTGTGTGTGTGTCTGTGTGTCTGTGTGAGTGTGTGTGTGTGTGTGTGTGAGAGAGAGTGAGTGAGTGTTTGTGTCTGTGTGTGTGTGAGTGTATGGGTGTGTACGTGTGTGTATGTGTGTGTGCATGTGTGCGCACGTGTGTATGTGTGTGTGTGTGTGTGTGTGTGTGTGTGTGTGTCCCTATGTGTGTGTGTGTGTCCCTGTGTGTGTGTGTCCCTGTGTGTGTGTGTGTGTGACAGAGAATGGTGAACGATTAGTTGAGGACAGGAGCTGGGCTGGCCTTCCTTTGTGCAGAATGCAGCAACAGCTGGGTGACACCAGGGTAACCTATGAGACAGTGGAGTGCTGTGCTGGTCGATGCTGATGCTTGGGATCAAAAAGATCAAGTGGGTCTCTGCCCCTCCAGTTTGGCTTGTGCTGTCTTGGTCTTTCGGCAAGGCTTCAGGAATCCACTCCAGCCCGATAATCGAGCTGGATTCAGAGCTCTGGGCCACCTCGAACACAGTGGAAGGGCTCCTCTGGTCAGGCTTCATTTGCCGTGACAAATTTGCTAACACGGTCACGCTGTGCTTTCCTTTGGAGAGCTGCCCCATCCATATTGAGTCGGAGTGCACTGTACTATATGAGAACTTGGATGGATTCCACCTTCAATTGCAGTACCTGAGTACAGCCCCGAGAACGTGTCATGTTCCCTCTTGACGTTAAGTAAAAACGAAAGGCACGAGCAGATTAACATTAAAGTACTTTGCCGTGTTCAAGTGAAAACCTCACACAGAAATGGAAACAACTTCTTCGTCCTCATTGCATTTGCGCTGAACTTAATTGAAAATGAACAAACAAAACACTGGCACTGCCAATTTAGACAGAAGGCAAGCCCAAATTCTGCCGTGGATAATTACACTGGAGAGCCATGGTAACAGAATAATGTTGATTCCCCATGATGTTGTTTTTAATCTTTAACATTTGAAAGATCCTTGTAGTCGTAGGTCCTGCAGGCAAAACACTTACTCAGGGCTGTGGCAAGTGTTATCGAAAGAACAGCAATTCCACTTATTTATTGCTTCAGTCACTTCAAAGAGGCTGACTGTACAACCACAGGAATGGGACATTGGGAATGAGTCCATGACCACTTCAAACTTGTTCCCCTTCCTCCTCAGGTACATCGTGGCAGCTCTGTGCCTCAACCTTTACCCACCCCACCTTGATTCAAGGACCAAAGGTGGCAGCTCGAGTGGAGAACTGGCATTACTCTCCACCTGGGGCACCTCTTTCCACAAAGTGTGCTGGATCTCTCTAGCCCAAACATAGCCTGGGAGTCAGCGGAGCTTCGGAAAACTGAGGGCTTCTGCATTTTCCCAGGATATTCGGCGTCCTTGAATCAAAAGAGGGCTGATTCATGGGATGGAGGGGTTGCCCTGTTGAAATGGCGAAACAGATTACACCTTCATTCGTTACCTTAATTTTTTTTATTATTTGTTCATGGGATGTGGGCACCGCTGGCTGGGACAGCATTTCCTGCTCATCCCTAGTTGCTCTTGAGAAGGTGGTGGTGAGCTGTCTTCTTGAATCACTGCAGTCCATTTGGTGAATGTACACACTCAAAGGCATTAGGGAGAGGCTTCTAGAGTTTTGACCCATTGACGGCAAAGGAAGGGCGATATAATTCCAAGTCAGGATGGCGAGTAGCTTGGAGGGGAACTTGCAGGTGGTAGTGTTCCCATGTATCTGCTGCCCTTGGCCTTCCAGACGGAAGTGTTTGTGGGTTTGGAAGGTGCTGTCTTAAGAGCCAAGCTGCTTTGTCCTGGATGGTGCCATGCTTTTTGAGTGGTTGTTGAAGTTGGACACAGCCAGATAAGTGGGGAGTATTCTGTGACGCTTCTGACTAGAGATTGTAAGGCCATAAGATGGAGGAGCAGCACTAGGCTTTCAGCCCATCAAGACTGCACCACTATACAATGGGATCATGGCCGAGCTGATAATCCTGAATGAACTGAACGTTCCTGCCTTTTCCTCCAAACCCCTTTTTCCCTGACTGATTTGTGCCTTGTAGATGATGGACAGGCTTTGGGAAGTCAGAAGGTGAGTTACTCACTGCAGGATTCCTAGTTTCTGACCTGTTCTTGTAGCCACTATTCTTATGAAACTAGGCCAGTTCAGTTTCTCGTCAATAGTCAGCTACCAAATGTTCACAGAAGAGGATTCAGTGATCGTTATGCCATTGAATGTCAAGAGACAAAGGTTAGATTCTCTTTTGTTAGAGATGGCCCTTGCTCGCTATTCACTAATTTCTAATAGTTAGCCTGAAAGTAGATATTGTCTAGGTCTTGTTGTATTTGGATGTAAACGATTTAGTATCTGAGATGTCACGAATGGTGCTGAACATTGTGTGATCATCGGTTAACATCCCTGCTTCTGACCTTATGATGGAGGGAAGGTCATTGATGAAGCAGCTGATAATGGTTGAGCCTAGGACACTACCCTGAGGAACTCTTGCAGAGATGTCCTGGAGCTGAGATGACTGACCTCCAACAACCACAACCATCTTCCTGTGTGCCAGGTATGACTCCAACCAGTGGAGAGCTCGCCCCCTGATACCCATTGACTCCTTTTTTGTTCAGGCTCCTTGATGCCACACTCGGTCAAATGTGGCCTTGATATCAAGGGCAGATTTGGACAAAGTTCGATTCACTGAC